GACGTTAAGAGAAATGTAATTCATGAACAAACTATGTCACAGGCAGATAGCAGGGTTTGACTTGAAATTCGTAGAAAAATGATTAAGGCCTCGCACTTTAAAGCAGTGTGTACTAGACGAATTACTACTTTATGTGAGCCTTTAGTCAAAAGGATTATTTACCAACCACTAGTTAATGCTGCTCCTATTTCTCATGGCAAAAAGTATGAAAAAACGGCACTTTTGCAGCTTCAAGAGCAGGAAAATATAGTGATTAGAGATTGTGGAATTTTTATTGACAATAAATATCCATATTTAGGTACGTAACGATCAGTTCACATTTTTACTCATGTCTCAACTATAAAATATTGCAAATAATATTTATATTTTTAATTTATTTTATTTTTTATTCTTTTCTGTATTGGTTAATTTGTGTAAGAGACAGGAAATGGAAAAAGAAAGATATACTTATAGTGCCCATGCTCAGCCTAATGGGGAAAATAAGTCTTGTTTGTTCTATATTTCAAACCAATAATTACACCTATATTTATTTCTAATTTGTAAATTATACAATTTGTAAAATTATTATATATTATTATTATTATTATTTTATTATTATTATTATTATTATTATTATTATTATTATTATTATTATTATTATTATTATTATTATTATTATTATTATTATTATTATTATTATTATTATTATTATTATTATTATTATTATTATTATTATTATTATTATTATTATTATTATTATTATTATTATTATTATTTTGTTGAAGTTCCGTCGTGACGTAACCTGTGGCTCCGACCCCACAGGGCGTTACGCGGAAGGCCATAGTGAAGACGATCACTCCTCGCGTCCGCTCGGTCAGTGATCGTCGGCCAAACTCATTTGCCTCAAAAGACGCATTGAACCGAGAACGACGGCTTTTTGCATGTATCACTAGATGTTCGAGCGATGCACGGCATGCCGGTATTTTCCTCAGCTCTGTCAGGATATTGTCCTTAGTCCCTCCAAGAACACCGATTATAAGGACTACAAAATATATGGTGTATTCCGGATATAGTCTGCGCAATTCGCCAAGCAGTTCTACGTATTTGGCCCGCTTTTCTCTCTCTTTAAGCTCGATGTTTGTTTCTGCCGGAGCGGAAAACTCTATGACGAACATTGAGTTTTTCTGCTTATCCAGCAAGACAATGTCTGGCTTATTCGCCTGAAGACGTGTTGTAGTAGGAAAAGCGTAGTTCCAATAGATGCGACAGTTATTATTTTCCACTACTCTCTCAATGTCCCCTGCAGCATAAGGCAGCACTGGTGTTTCATCCATACCGTAGACATGTCGCAGATGATAATAAAGCACCCGAAGAGCCGCGTTGTGCCGGTAAATATAGCTTGAAACAGCATGCACAGGGCAAGCTGACAATAAGTGCATAAGTGTTTCGGGATGCTGGCGACAGGTTCTACATCTGACGTCGGCAACTTCAGAAAATTGACTACGGTATACCAGGGTATTGATTACTCCATCCTGGCAAGCAATCAGAAAGCCTTCAGTCTCAGATTTTAGACCAGCAGACTTTAGAAAGGTGAAAGTCAGTCTTTTGGATAGCCTTAGATTTTGGACGTTTCTATAGAACACTCCGTGTTGCGGCTTGTTGAGATGGTCTTCAAAGAGCCCTTGTTCTTCTGCTCTCTTAATACGAGACTTTAGAACCTCAGGCTCCAGCCTACTAAGCGACTGCTGGTTATCGGTATCTAGCGTGAATACTAGATTTAATCTTTCTGCCGCCTGTCTTGCTGCTCTAAAAAGAAAAGCTCCGACATTGGCTGCTTCGTGATCTTTTATAAGTTTTAATAGTGGATCCATACTATTGATGATTTTGCAGGCCATTCTTAGTACCAGCCTGTCGTGCAGACACTCCAAGTTTAGAAGGCCTCTTCCACCCTGATCACGTGGGAGGTAAATTCGGGAAACCGACGAGCGTGGATGAATGCTGCGATTGAGATGCATCATCTTTCGTGTGCTCACATCCAGTTCGCGCAACTCGTCACGCCTCCACTTCAACACTCCGAAGGAGTAAAGAAGAACTGGTACAGCAAGTGTATTAGTGGCAGTAACCTTATTTATACCGGAGAGCTCTGATTTCCATATTTGTCGGAGGCGCTGCCTATACTTGCGTCGAAGCGTTGTCTTAATCGTTTCTGTGTCTTGCGTACGATTTTGATCGACACCAAGGTATCGATATGCCTCACCTGCTTCGAGGTGGCGTAAAATTGCTCTGTCAGCGAGTTGTTCATTTTCTGGATTGTTTCCATAACGGCCTTTCTCTAAGGTTAAAATTGCACATTTATCTAGACCAAACTCCATACCTATGTCTCTAGTATATTCTTGAACCACCTTTAGAGATTGCTGTAGGTCTCGCTGGCTTGTAGCGTAAAGCTTTAGATCATCCATATAGAAGAGGTGGGTCACTTTATGCCTTCGGTTTCCAGGTGGTCCACAGCAATAGCCGCGCGTCTTGCGAAGGGATACCGAAATAGGAAGCAGCGAAATGCAGAATAGTAAAGGACTCAGTGAATCTCCTTGAAATACCCCTCTTTTAAAATGTATAGGCTCTGTGGTAATTTTTTCATTTCCAGATCTTATGGAAAATTTGGTTCTCCAGAGCGGCATCAGGTGTTCGATGCACTGAATTAGTGAGTGAGGAACTTCAAGTATTCTCAACAGATGTATTAGAAGTTCATGAGATGTTGTGTCAAAGGCTTTTTTATAGTCGATCCAAGCCATTGATAAGTTTCGTTTATACTGGATTGAGTCCTGTGTAATACATCTGTCTATCAACAAATTCTCTTTGCATCCTTCAAGTTTCTTCTTTCCCCCACGCTGCTCTCCAATATCGTTTATGACTGGTTCAATTGCGCTCAATATTCGGGAATACAAAATCCGTGTAAAAATTTTATAACAAGTATTGAGGCAAGTGATCGGTCTATAGTTTTTGGGGTCTTTTAAATCGCCCTTTTTCGGTATTAGGGTTGTTCGTCCTTCAACAAACCATTCTGGAATTGGTGTGCCCTCATTAATCCAAGAATTAAATATCCTAGCTAGATGGTGGTGGGTACTGGAGAATTTCTTCCACCAGAAGTTATTGATCCCATCTAGGCCAGGTGCAGAGTAGTTCCTGACACCTTCAAGGGCTTTTTTCACCTCCTCCGTTGAGACTTGCGTACTTTCATGCCGCTGGATGTGCATGTTGAGACAATAAGTTGTGAAGTTTGTCAGTGCGGGAGTGGCTGCGTTTAATGGTCTTGGAGTCTCATAGATTTCCTTCCAGAAGTTTTCAACCTGTAAGACTGGCGGCGGATTATCTACTTTAGGTGCAGGCTCTTGAAATAGACTAGAGGGTTTATTCAGGAATATATTGTTGTCTCTTATTCCTGCAGCCCTCTTCTTTAAACTGTTTTTAATGACACCCAAAGAGCGTATACGGTCCAGGAAGCGCTGTTTTACAGTCAGAAGCACCGCCCTGTTAAGAGTGTGATGTTGCTGTCGAAGTTTTTTAGCAGTTTTTCTACTCTTTTCCGTAAAAGGTCTATTGGTAGAAAGAAATTCCAACATACTCTGTATACGTGATGCTTGCTGCCTAGCCAGGTTAATTTTGTTGGCGATTTGCTGGATTCGCCGTGTTATTTTCCTGACCTTTTCTTTAAAACCATCCGAGCTATTGTTCGGTAGCAGTCGCGTTGCAGCTCTATATACAGCGTTATTAAGTGCTAATATGTCTACATCTTCTGGAAGTTCCTCTCGTAGCTCTGTGTTTGCACGTGCAAGATCTTCCGGCTTAACGTGAAATTTGATATTAAGTTTCACGTTTCGGTTTTCAAGTCCATAATTTTCTACGTTTTCAGGGACATGGTTATCATCAGTTACTACTGGCTCTTCCCTAGGTTGTTCATCTAGAGGGCCATCATGTTGATTTGGTTGAAGTAACTGCTGTTCTAGTGGAGTCCTGACATACCCTGATCTTCTGAGATAGGCTACATAATCCCTAAGACGTTGTTGAGTGAGATTATTTAGTTCTGGATGCTTTGCAGACCAAAGATCGTGCATCCTTTTCATGTAGCCTCTTCTAGCTGGCTCGCTTTCTTCATATGCGTCCAGCAGGTCGTCTCTAAGTTCGTCGTTCCATTCGAGGCGTCCGGATTCATTGCCTGGGTCGTGTAAGGGCGTCCGTCCAACTGCTTCCCCATCTTGCCCATCACCCCCATCCGAGCGGGGTGAATTGTGGGAAGCTTGCTCATCATTGTTGCCCGTGACAATGTGAAGAACCATAGCGTTTTGAGATGTCACCCCAAAGCGCCTGGACGGGTACCGGTATTACATGGGCTACCGGCCCGATTTAAGGCCCCTTGTAGGTTGCTGTTGGTCCTCGCTACCTCTTCAAGCCCGCTGGCAGTACCGTCTTGCTTGGTTAGTCTGTTACGGTAGCGTTTAACACCCAACGCTGAGTGCTCAACGGCCAGACTTTATTATTATTATTATTATTATTATTATTATTATTATTATTATTATTATTATTATTATTATTATTATTATTATTATTATTATTATTATTATTATTATTATTATTATTATTATTATTATTATTATTATTATTATTATTATTATTATTATTATTATTATTATTATTATTATTATTATTATTATTATTATTATTATTATTATTATTATTATTATTATTATTATTATTATTATTATTATTATTATTATTATTATTATAATAATGCAAAAAAATTGATTTTTATTTTGTACTTTCCAAGGGCTGTAACTTTTTTTGTGTGCACATTTGCATTGAGGTAAGTTATGTTCAATCGAGTTATTTTGACCCCGGAGTATGTGGTTCCATTTAGGACCTACCTTTTTGTTACACCCTGTATAATTAATATTAAAAAGTAAATAAGGTATTTACTAAAATAAGTGAGGAATGATCTATAGGTATAATTTATTTTCTTTTATTAGGAGCATTTAAAGTTGGCCACGCTGAAGATAACCACTACTTGTGGTCATCTATGAATCACACGTTGTTAGACAAATATCCCCAAATAGATATTGATACAAGTAACAAATTTAGAGCCCTGTTTTCCAATTTTGCAAAATATCTGTGAGTATAATCATAATCATCATAAAACAAATAATATATTATTTACGTTTATTAAATAAGACCAACTGTAGTTTGAAAACAGATGTCTTTATAAATAATGTTTACATCTGTTAATATTAACCAAATATTTGTTCTTGTTTTAGAAATCCAACGCCAAAACAATTAGATCTATTTAACAATATAATTTGGCCAACCGTCAAGCCTAATGATTTTCAGTATTTGGATATCAACGAAACGTTATCTATTCGAACGGATCCTAAAGGAGATGTCTATTCTAAATGGGTAGATATTTATCAAACGTACGCTATCAGCCCATTAGACACGTATTAAAATTGTACAAAACGAATAAATAGTTACTAAAATTATAGTTTTTGTTTTCTACATGACCAATGATAATATATTATGAAGAAAATTAGTAACGTTTAAAAATTAAGTATAAGATATCTATTTCCAATATTTCTCTTAACTTTTTGACAATCGCCAGATAGCATATTAGTAAAAAGAATTCCCTAAAACAATTATATTCAGCCAATAAGTCCTCAATATTCTTACTGTCTATGCTAAATAAGTTAAATTTGAGGTTCCATTTTGTGATTTGGCGTTTGTTAGCAGTAGGTAAGTTTGTTTTCAACTTTTTTGATATTTTAAATTAGAATGGAAAATATGGAATATTCTTACATTAAATAATATTGATGCATCTTCAACCCAAGTGAGTACTAGTCTAAAAAAGAAAAGGTACAATACTCCAAAACATGACCAGTGAAAATTACTATTATAAATATTAGAGGAAGCTTCTAGACTCTTTGAAACACATTAAACATAGGTAACTATTATGGGTTCGCTGATACTATTATGGGTCCGCTAATACTTTAAAATGTATTTTCCAGTCTCGACCAAAAAAAAATCTGATGTGAAAGACACATAACTTTCCTGTTTAGTTATTACAGGCATTTTCCGGTTATTTTCTACAATCTATTGTATCACCTCTGTAAATGTTTAGAGGAGAAATACATACATTTTCTACATACATCTAGTTACCTACTATTTCAGTTCTACGATGTAAATTATGCTTAAGAGGTGATTTAGCTCAAATTGCTGGTACTGCGTGGATTTATAAATTAATCAGGACAAATCAAATCAGAGTAGCTTGACTTGTTCGCTGACCAAAGTATACTTTACTATAAAATGAAAGATACTATAATACGATAATGATAGAAATGTTGAGCACCACCAAGTTTTTGAGTAACTTGGAAAACTTATCTGATTTTATATGCCCTGTTTAATTCAGTCAGTCTCGGGTACCTAAATTTATCTGTTATGAGTTCAGGCAAATAAAAGAGAGTGAGAAAATGTAATACATTTAACAAGTATTAGAAATTAAAAATTTAAAAAACCGACTTCAAAAACGTGCAGATGCCATCACCACATCTTAACCAAATTTATATGAGACCACCCCTGAGGTACCCCCTTACTAACAAAAAAAGAATCATATAAATCGGACAAGGTGGTTAAGCATTGTCGCTAAACATACATATAAAATGAAGAGTTTGAGGATTTTCTCATGGACCCAATTATTAGATTTTGACCAAATTTTTATGGAACCACCCCTGAAATACCCCCTAACAAAAAAACAAAAAAGAATCATTGAAATCGCTGAACATACATAAAAAAATATCGCGACGAATTGAGAACCTCCTCCTTTTTGAAGTCGGTTAATAAAAAGAATGCAATTACACATTAAATTAATAATTGGATGAAAAATTGACTATTGAAAATTGAAATTGAATGTTGATATTTAAATTGCTTCTTTGTTTCGATCATGTGGCATTATATAGCGTTACTTCCCTGTTATCGTCTCCTGGGTAGATAAAGTCTGTCCAACACTTTGAAGGTACTTGGAGCTAATTGGAGCTATGTCGAGACTTGGAGATATGTCCAGACTTGGTTCTACATGGAGCTGCTTCGGAGCTACTTGGAGCTATTTCGAAACTACTTCGAAACTTGGAGCTGGGAGACTACTTGAGGCTACTTCGACATTACTTAGAGCTTGTTTGGAGACTAGGAAGCTTCGTGAAACTACGTAACTTGGAGCTTATTCGAAATCACGTGGAACTTGGAGCTTAGAACTCGAAACTCACTCAGAGCTCAGAACTTCGTGCTTGAAGCTTGAACTTAGAGCTTAGAGTTTGGAGCTCGGATTTGGAGCCACTACAGGTTTGGAAATAAAAAGAACCTCAGTAACAGAAATAGTACAACTACATACCAGTTTGGAAATCTAACGGACTTATGCATAAACGGGACAAATATTAAAGTTAAATCATCTGAATAGAACATAAAATATTTATGGGGCCAAAATAAGTTATAACAATAAGTTTAACGTCATCTGAACAAAATATGAAATATTTATGAGGCCAAAATAAGTTATAACAATAAGTTTTACATCCTCTGAACAAAATATAAACTTAAAATAACCAAAAAAGGTTGACAGCTGTGTGCACGTAGTTTAGATTTAAAAGGAAAGACTTGTATTTCGTGCAAACCTTTTTAGTAAATAAATGCAAAGCGCTTTCAGCATTGTGCCATCATCAGTGCTTATCTACAAAAATTGTGGATGTAAACTTACAATTTATAAATATGTGTAAAAATAAAATCTGAGTAAGACTTTTAAGTCAAAAGTTAAAATTATATATATAAGGTAATTTGAGCAAATTAACAATTAAAATATAACAAACAGAGTGACATAACCCAGTGTTGGAAATAGTGAGTGTGGGATAAGCCCCTAAAAAATCCTATCTGATCTCTAGAAGCAAGTTAGCTTGTATGGAACTAAGGAATTATACCACCTTCACTATTCGCATTGAGTACAGTTAACAAATTTGTTAAAATTTAAAAAAAATACATATAAAGGGTGACTGTGGAAAATATATTGAAATTTAAATTTAGAATACAATAGTTAATATGGAAAAGGTTAAACGCAAAAGGCCAAAGGAAAAAACTGAAGGTTTTCTTCTACATTATAATTGTAAAAAAGTCTACCTACTGTCCACAAACATATCCAACAAGTTCTTAGTCATCCTCGCTCCCAAAATTAGATATCTCACGATATTCACAACTTGCTAAATCATAATTATTACTATTAGTAATATTTTCGAATTTAAATTTCTTTATACATTTATTTCTATTAATATTGTTTAACCGTGTCCCTATGACAGTGGTGACAAGCGAGACTTAAAGACGTTGACCTGTCAAATGTCAAGAGAGGAGGTGCGTTCACCTCAGTGTGGAACATGTTTCTCCAAGTGTGATTCGAGTGATTGGAGGTGGTTAAAGAAAATTAAAATTTGTAAGTATTGAATTTAAAGAAAATTTTTCAAATTTGATTTATTTGTTAGTTAAATTTAAATAAATGTTTAATATGAATTGATCTTTTTAATGATCCTTTTGATGTCAAGACAAATCAAAAATATCACTTGCGTAGTTCTGATGTGCCAGCCCGGGCGCTGCAGAACTTTTTTCAGAGAACCCAAGATGTCACAACTAAACCTGATGTTTAGTCCTAAAAATTCTAAATCACTCAACAAGCGTACTATTGTATTCTTAATTTAACTTTCAATATATTTTCCACGGTAAATTTTTTAAATTTTAACTAATTTGTTAACTTGTTTTCAACTGTACTCAATGCGAATAGCAAAGGTGGTATAATTCCTTAGTTCCACACAAGCTAACTTGCTTCTAGAGATCAGATATGATTTTTTTAGGGGCTTATCCCACACTCACTATTTCCAACACTGGGTTATGTCACTCTGTTTGTTATCTTTTAATTGTTAATTTGTTCAAAATTACCTTATATATATAATTTTAACTTTTGACTTAAGCCTTACTCAGATTTTATTTTGACACATATTTATAAATTGTGAGTTTACATCCACAATTTTTGTAGATAAGCACTAATGATGGTACAATGCCGAAAGCGCTTTGCATTTATTAATTAAAAAGTTTTGCACGAAATAGAAGTCTTTCCTTTTGAAAATATAAACTATTTATAAGGCCAAAATAAGTTAAGAGACATAGATTTTCTTTTAAACTGTATTTCCAGACTGACTTGTAATTCAATTATTTAATTGCTTCCTCGCGTATATATTAAAGGAAGCTTAAAAATATTATTAGGTAGTGTAGCTATAATCTATATAAAATAAATCAATAATAATAACCGGCACTCGTCGGCATGATGGTAATTAAAAAAAAGCAAATGGCCGACTTTTCGGCTTTCCAACTAAATCCAGCAAAGCGTTAAAATATGAGTTGAAAAAACCATTACCTGACCATTATCCCAACGGTAACATACAATAAGCACATATAAACGACAAGATAATTACGGAATTCTACGCATAGTAACCACAAACTAGTAGATTATTTATCGGCACAACACTACCACGTAGTTCGATAAGCCAAAAAGACGATCCAGGTGACAGCAGCTGATTTATAGTTTACCAGCGTGAATGTAGGAGAAAATGAGGGACCGGCGTGCAAGCCGTGCTTTTGCATTCCAGAGAGCGGTATTGGATTAATTTTGGTCATTTACGAGGGGTTATGGAGAAGTTGTTGTTAAAAATAAATTTGAATTTAATTTAAAATTAATTTTACGTAACAATCTTACTCGAAACATTTTTTTATATATATTCATTACCAACGAAAATACCGAAAAATTTAAATTTTGCACTTTTCCTCAATTTTTTTCATTACGGTCCATTCTAGTGAATCCATATACGTATAATAATTGGCATTATTATTTGAAAATATAAAGAATTTATCAAAAATTCTAAAAAATGCATTTTATTATTTTAAAATTAAAATTAAAAAGGAACACACGTATGGAAATAAAACAAACAATCAGGTTATTACTTCAGTCAATGCCTTACATTGAACTAAGGAATTCAAAGTAGAACGTTGGCATTTTAATAACTATCACGTACATTTTGGATTTATATAAAGAGATTGGACAGAAAGAATGAGGACTTCGGGTGAGGACTAAGGCTCAGACTCGCCGAAGGCGAGATCTCTCGTTTTTGGGATTCTGAATCCCAAAACAAAGTAATGTGTGAAGTAAAGTTTTGTGCAGCGATTTTTGAACTTTGGGTAAATATTTTTAACTTATTTTTTAAAGTGTTTTGTTTGAGATAATTAACTGATTTACATATAAATGCCAATTTTACATTTTCGTCCCGAGTATCATATTTATCTTATGTATATATTTTAGATCAATATATAGCTAAAGTTTCCAGTGCTAATATTAGTTGTTAATAGGTCCAAACTTATAATTT